TCGGCAACGACATTGCTACCTTGCAAGCGACAGGCGACTTTAATAGTATGCTTGGTCAGTGCTGCGAGGCGTGCAAGAAGAACAACCAATGCAACGCGTACGTCTTGTTTGAAGGCGTCTGCTACCTCAAGTCGGCGTCCAGCAACAACCTGTCCAAGACCGGTGCGACGGCAGTCGTTGTTGGCACGACGACGATCGCGTCGTAAGCTACGTACACCAATGCGTATTCCGATAGCACTCTGGTTTCCAACACGTAAAATGGGCCATTTTTACAGTTTATGCGTTGTTTTCAGTGTTTGTACAATATGGACATGTATTGTCCATTTGACTGGTGCCATCATAGCACCTGTCGCGACAACGTACGAGGACCCACCTCTTGCATTCTCAACCAAGAGCTACATGCAATAGGCAGTGATGTATTAGTTTACGACGCCTGGACTTTAGTATACGGGACACTCAACTCAAAGGTTGGCGTCGCCGTCTCCAGGCCCTCGACCGGAATGAAGATTTCGGCGCCTGCGACGGCGTCAAGGGCCCAAAGCAACGTCGACGACATGTCGCGCGCAGCGTACAGCGGGGCCGTGTACGCACCGTAGTGCAGCTGGAGGCGGTCGCCCGCGCGCGAGATGGTGACATTGCCATAGTAGGTAGCGGACTCTCTTGGCGCGTACGTCCCCACGAGGTTCTTCTGCGCCGCTTCAGGCAGGACGCTGCCCATCTCGGTCCACGACTTGCCGCCAAACGTGTGCTCGCTGCATTGCGCAGGCAGCTCCTTGGCGCGCGCTGCTAACGTTTGTGCACGGAGACCGAGAAGAAGCGCCGGCTCGACGTCGAGGAAGATGCCAGCCACGTACGTGCGGATGCGGTCCGACAAAAACTCGTCTTCGGTCGGACCACCCGCCGGCTTGGCATTCGCAAGCAGCACGATGCCAAGCTCTTCCTTTGGAAGGAACCCCGTCCGTGTCTTGAACGCGATCGTATCGCCGCTCTTGTCAAAGTAATGACGACCGTACATAAGGTTGCCAGTGATATCAAAGCCGTAGCCAGCCGTCATGGAGCCGCCGTCCGGGTTGTACGACATGCCGACGAGCTTTGCGAGCGGCGCAAACATCGCTTGGAAGTTGTGACCCGTGATCAAGGTTTCGACTGTCTTGGGCGAGCGAAAGATACCCGCGCCTTTCGAAAGGAGAAACTTGGAGAAGAGCGCCAAGTCCGACGCCGTCGAGAGCATCGACCCGGCGGCGAGGTGCCCGTTCTTGTACCCAAGTGCAATCTCGGGCGACGATCGCAAATCGTACGGGCCAGCGACTTTGCCGTTACAGATGACATGGCCGAACGAGAGGTCGCCGTTTGCAGGCACGTCCGGGACCGACCCGTACGTGTTGACCATGCCGATCGGCGTGAAGAACGTCTTGTGGAGGTACTGCGACCATGTCATGTTGGTCTGGTGCTCGAGCACTTGGCCGAGGATCTCAAAGTTCAAGTTGGCATACGCGTAGCCGGCACGGAGGTGTCGGGTGGTCTTGAAGGTACCCAGCGATTGCACGAGGCTGCGCTCGTTGGGGTGTACACTAATACCCCAGACAATGTCGCCTTCGAATGCACCGAGGACTGAGTTCATGGCCGCAAGGTCACCGAGCGTCGTGTACTTCTCTGCGTACTTGTCAGCGAGCTCAAACCACGGAAGCCGCAGTTTGACCGGGTCGTCCCAGCTCAAGCGACCTTCATCCACCTGGCACAGTCATGAGTACATAAGTATCGAAAAATGAGCTAGGTACGTACGAGCTTGGCAATTCCGAGTGCAATGAACGTCTTGGTGAACGACCCAATCTGAAATTGCGTGTTTTCAGTCACTACATTCGAGTCGTTGCCGTACTAGACAACAGAGATTCATGAGAGACCGCGTCCTTGCTACATAATTGGAGCAAGTAGAACGTACTTGCTTGGTACCAAAGCCGCGGGTGAGGACTGTCTCGTTCTGGTAGACGATCGAGAGTGCAAAGCCCGGGACTGCGTGCTTCTGGAGCTGGTCTTCAACAAATGCGATCGCCATCGCCTTCTTCTCGTCGAGCGACCGCTTGTGGGGCCAGTCAACGATGAGGCGGGCATGAACGAGCTGCAAAAGCAAAATCGCTGCCACGTACATCCAACGCATGAGTGCTTCTTGGCTGACGGCAAATTGAAAAATGATGCTTTGGTGGGCAGCGTCTTGTGTTGCGTGCGGTCGTTGGATCATGCTGGTGTGGATGCGTTGCCAAGCGTTTGATTGGCTACCTCCAGTTAGTCAATTGTTGACGACGTGCATTCCCATACAGAGTGAGTGTCAAGCATCTGGTAAAGCATCGAGCGCGGCCAATCCACCGCCTCTATATCCATATCGTTCAGGCTGTGGACCATTTGGCTCAGTGCCTGCCACTCCGATTGCCAGCAATACGCGACCATGCATCTTCAACGATTGCCTAACCGCGTCCCAATGTAGATTTGTAGCCACTTTGCATTTAGCAGCCTCGAGCATACTCGAACGCAATCATGCGTTTTCTCTTCGTCGCGCTCTCGTCGTATCTCGGTCTCTGGGTCGACCAAGTGCGCTTCATCCCAGCTCTGCTGCCGTCGCCGTCGACGTCAACGACCGGTGGCCGGTCGCTCGCGGACAAGAAGGCCGAAGCCATTGCATTCGTCCACGACCAAATGGCGACGTATGCGCTGCCGGGTCTTGCGCTCGCAGTGGTCTACAAGAACGAGACCATTATTGCTTCCGGATTTGGCACCAAGCAGGTATCTCCTCTATCCTTACACGATGTGGAAATGATGTCTGTACTTGATTCTAGTATGGCAACGACACGAATGTCGTGACGGCCGACACGATTTTCCAAATTGGTTCGTTCTCCAAGACGTTCATTGCACTCGGCATCGGCAAGCTGGTACGTCTCTCTTTCAATTATATTCTCTTTCAATTATATTGCCGATAATTGCTGACACTAATTCGTATAGGTCGATGAAGGCCGTCTTCACTGGGACGACCCGGTCAAGCTCCGCCTTCCGTGGTTCCAGCTCAAGGACAAGTACGCCGAAGAGTACACGACGCTCGGCGACCTCCTCGCGATGAACTCGGTCTTTGCATCTGGTCAAGGCGACGAAGCGTGGATGCTGGGTGGCGTTGATGAGCGTGCGTCGGTGCGTGCGGCTGCCTACCTCGAGACGGACGGCCGGCCGCTGCGCCCTGGCTACGCTTACGCCAACATGAACTACGAGATCCTCGGCCAAGTCATCGAGTACCAGACCAACCAAACGTGGTCGCAGTACCTTCACACGACGTTCTTCAAGCCGCTTGGCATGAGCAACACGTACGGCGCTGTGCGTGACGTCCCGCTGTCTGGCGATCTCTCGTTTGCGCATTACCACTGCAACAAGTTGGTCGCTGGTCCGTTCGACCAGCGGACGTCGCCGGAGGTTGTCCTCAACGGAAACGACTACCTCTCTGCGGGTTCGGTCGTCTCGTCGGCCGGCGACTTGGCGATTTTCGCAAAGTTTTTGCTCTCAAAGGTCGCGGGCATCTTTCGCTCACCGACGATCCTCGACACGATGATCACGGGCCACAGCATCAACACGATGTTTTCTTCTCTTGGACCGTTGGTGGGGTATGCGTATGACGCTGATGGCGATGCGCTCACGGCCGGCTACGGGTTTGATGCGGTTGGTGACATCATGTACGGGTACCAGTATTTTGACAAGGGTGGTGACACCTTTGCTTTCAAGACGCGCAACGGGTTCATTCCCTCAGAAGACCTCGGCGTCGTCCTCCTTTCCAACTCGGAAGGACGTGGCGGTGCCCCCCGTGACGTTTTTGTCGAAGACCGCATCCGGACGTACCTTCTCGGTATCTTCCTCGACGTGCCGCAAGCAACGCTTACGGCGACGTACGAGTCTGCGGTGGCTGCCGCTGCCGCCGCGAGGCCGTCGACACCTTGCGACGCCCATCTCTTTCAAGGCAAGCCGTGGACGAGCCTCGGGTCCCCCGTGTTAACGAGCGACCGCCAAGCACTGGTTGGCACCTACGTCTCTGTTGCGTCGGCCGGGTTTTATGGCAATTTGACGCTCTCCGAAGGCAACGGCTCGCTCTTGCTGCATTATGGCAGAGATACAGCTCCGGTGCTCGTCAAGGACGACGGCGGGTACCTGTGGACGACGGCGACGGCGGGCTACATGTTCGCTCCGTTCCTCGATATCAAACATATCGGCACCAATCACACGCAAGTGACGCTCGTTGGACACCCGTTTGTTAAGAAACCGTAATTCAAACTTGCTTGACCATTCATCTACCAATATCCCATGCCTATATGCATGATTGTTTCAATGCCAGATGGAGCTAGCGTATCGCGAC